TACACACAGCATGATGCAATGAAGAGTAAGAAAATTATAATTTTATCACCAATAAAAGTTAGCTATCATAAAATATCAAATATAAAGTGCTCATAAAAATAAATTAAAGTACAGATCATGCATCCTAAAAAAGGGTGGGGGCATATAGCATAAGAAATCTAACTTGCTAGTTTGCAGTTTTTATAAATAAATAGTAAAAAGTTAATTCAAATAAAATAATGATAATACTCTAAAAATCTGACTAGTAAACAATTTAAAATTGTTAAAAATCACAATTCATATATTTTATCCAGTTCATACCACAATAACCACTGTTCATGAAAACTGATGATATAAATAGCTCCTAGACCACTACTATGTCTGTCATACTCCTGCCAGCCTGAGGAGCCCTGTTTATCAGCACTGAATATTGCTAATGTGGTGTGGTTGCTTTCATTCATGAAGTTCTTAGAATTACTGTACCCTTAAGCAAGGATCCAAATATTACATTCCCAAGGAAGTTAACTTTACTTGAGGAATTTCATCTTTTTAGTTGACTTTCCTGACAGGGAATGCATGGTACATTTGTATTCCTTTAGTTACAATCAATGAAAGTGAACATATTACATGGATTAAATCAAAAACAATTCATGAGGAAATGAAACTTTACATGAGGGAATGTAATCTTCCTGATAGCTTTCCCTCGAGTGAATGTAATTTTATTTCATTATTTCTATCCCTGTTAAAGACAAAATAAAGACAACCTATTAGATATAAGAACCTTACTTTAAGAACAGAGACAACATCCAGTCTGAACATATGATTGTCAGGAACAATAACATTACCTGAATTTCCTTAAATGAATTTACATGAAAATATACCTTTACACATACCTCAGTGGCATTAATATATCATACAGATCTGATATAACATGGCATTGGTAAGTTCTAGTTACAGGTACGTCTTTATTCAGCAAGTATTCTGATTCAAAGAGATGTGTACAAACCAAAGAGGAAAAAAAAAAGATGATTAAGAAATGTGGTATACAGCATATGTATTTCTATGCTTTCTTAGCCAAAGAAAGTAATATTAAGCACTGTAAGTTGACAAATGCTAATGATATCACTGCATATCTACATGTAAAATCCAGCAACTACACTGAGAGATACACTGTGATTTTCTTCACTAGAACCAGAGAGAATTGTAATTCACATAGGATGTTAGTGGTAACGTTCAATATTTTAATGAGCTACACAGTTTCATCTGATCAAAGAAAGTTTGTATTTCATATTCATATTCAATTACATGTCATGGAAAAGCTATATTTGTCTTAGAGAAAATAATAAAATAAATGTAGCCTGGTCAAAATTATATAAATATATTATCTACATATAACTTAGTCAATTCAATAATGAATTCTTCATATTTAGTAGAAACAAAGAATGAATGGTTGTCTATATCAACTTGAAGCAAGTTAATTCAAGCAAATCATTTCTCACAGTATTTTTAATTATTTGTCCAAATTTATTTACCTTATCATGTATTACAATCAGCATTCACTAGATGGCAGTGAAATTCTGTTTGTACTGACCTCTATTGGATTTATTTTGAATTATGTATTATAATGCTGGAAAAAAGCATTCCTATACTTTACTGTAGTGTCATTGAAATAATATATATATATAACATATATATTCAGATAGGTAACGTTTGATTATAGAGTATATTTTGTGCAGAAATATAATAACAGGCCATAAAACAAATTCTGTTTCATTAATATATACAAGTATATACAACATTTCCAGAAATAATCTGACACAGAAGGGGATAACAACAGCCCCCTTTTAAAATACATTTCAAAATAACCTCTGCCAATAAGTTACAATATCTTGCTAAGCACAGAAATCAACTTAATAAGCCTGTAATTTCTTAGGTCCTTCCTCAGCCCTTAAACAAATCTTTTAATCAGCAGGAATTTTACCAATGTCAAGTTATTTTTGAAAGTTAACATTTGAAGCCCAAACCGCCTCTTTAGTAAGCTTTTTTAGTTTCAGAGCTATGCAAGTCTGTTGATGCTGTGAGCTTTCCCAAACATCATTCAAGGTCTGTTTATAGTTTTTTATGTTAATTTACCTTTTATATCAAAAATTTGAATACCTATTTAAACAGTAATATTTTGATATTCTCAGTTGATACTACAATATTACAAAAAGACTTATACTATAGAAAATTAGCATTACTGCTAAGTACAAGGTAATGCATTTGGGATGTGGACACTCAAAAATATTTTTTTTGTGATTAATATTTGTGCTAAAGAGAATTAAAATGATATAGATGTGATTATTCATTTATATATAATAGATAGACATTTGTCAATAAAATGAGCTTGTAGATTTCTGGAATCTGTTTAAAGAAAGTTTGAATTACAGAGTAAGCTGGATGTAACCTTATATGACCAATGGTGTATGCAGTTAGTACTCCATTTTTACAGCACAGATTTTTAATAAGTTCACAAGAAAGCAGAGAAAAGCTACTAGAATGATACTTGATTTAAACATTGATTCAGAAGTACTAAATAAGATTGTATTAAGGTTTTTAGAACTGCTATGGATTAGATAATCTGCCTGTGGGAGGTGTAATTGGAGGAATAAAGATGGAAATAGAGTTTAATATTAAAAGTAATAAGCACAAGCCCAAATCTACTTTTCTAGGGCCGAATTATTTAGTTGTTAGATTTTTAAAAATTGTGAAAAGGCTTACATTATGATGTGATGTGTGTTTATGCTGTTAAGTCAAAGTGTTTTAAATACTTGTAAGATAAGTATTAGATGTAAAAGTGCAGCATTTACTAATGTTTTTCCTTCTTTTGTTAGCTGTTTTATTGGGTAATGGTGTGACCTCATGGTTCCAAGCAGTTGTCTGTCACAGTGTTCTTATTCCTTTTAACATGTCGATTTTACATGAGTGACATAATACTAGATGTAGTGAGTGTTCTTGCCTTCTCCAGAAGCATAACTTGACCAAAATCCAACTAATCTTACACCAAAATCTTTCAGAAGTAACATAAAACTGAAGTAAATACAATTACTTCCACAGAGTCCCTTAATGAATAAGATTAAGACAACCACATTTTCAAATCCTTTTTTAAACCAGTTATCAAAAATGTATAAATATTTGAAGTCAGTATATTTCCTTCATTCACTTTTAGCTCCTCAACCTTTATCTTATGTCATCCCCCCCTTCCAGATTAAAAAAATAAACAAAAAACTCATATCATGCAATTAATTCACTCCATAGGAATTTTGACTTTAATGAACTTGATAATTGAGTTACTTAGCCTCAGGTCTTTCAATTATTTGTGTATCATACAATTTACATCACACATTACTTGCTTTGCTTCCAACTTTAAAAAGCTAAAACTTTAGCAACACTAGTATAATAGCACTCTATATTTAAAACTTATTTCAGTCTATTATGGGAATTGCAAACAACAGTAAATAATCAAATAAATTTAAAAAAATCTAAGTTTTTGAAAAGAACAAATTTATTGATTAATTATTGTTAACTTATAACATAGAACAAAAAAGTCATATACACAAAATATAACAAAATATTTGATTCATATAATGCTGGGACAGAAGCCACATATATAAAAAAAGGAAAATCTTGTCTTAGTAATATATTATTGTTTCTTCAAGTATCTCTCTTGTATCTGAATAAAGGAAAGGGTTGATGTATTTTTGTTTATTTTTAACTGTACTGAGGATTCTGACATGTTATAAAATAACTTGAAGCAATTGGTGAATGTCGTTTCATTATAGTTAGTGTATGATAATGTACTTGGGTTATCATAACTGGATCATATATTTATTAAGAAAGAAACCAAGTCAAGAGCATGACTGAAGAAAAGGATCTTGGCATAGTTGTGGTATTTAATCAAGCCATCAAAGCAGTGTATTGTTGCTGTTAATAAAACTTATAGAATTTTAGTGTGTATTTATAGACACATTGATTATAAGAAAAATATTATAATCCTCTCTAAACAAATCACTAGTTAGGCTTCACTTGGAATGCTGCATACAGTTTTTATCTCCTTATCTATGAATGGATATTCACATATTTATTCAATTATGGTAGAAGATTTAGAGAAAGGCTATTAGGATGATATCAAGGGATGGAAGGGATAACTTACTGGTTAAGATCTTGTAACTTATTTACTCTTGATTAAAGAAGTGTAACTTTAAAAAAGCTTACCTTATTGAAGATTACAAATTATCCACGAGATTAATAGGATAAAAGCTTTGATTTCTTTGTTATATTCCGAGGATGAGAGGATACAAGTTTAAGATTTAAAAAAGACAAGACAGGCTACAGGTAAGACAGTTTTATTTCTCTAACAGAGTGATTGACTTATTGATTGAGTTGCCATGAGCAGTAGTGGAGGGCAGAACTAAATCGATTATTTAAACTTGACTTTTCTCAAGTGTGGGTGTGTAAGGATAGCCTGTACAGACCAAATAGTCCCTTGTTGTCCTTACATTATGTTGATATGCAATTATTAAAAGTATTCAGTGTATTAATTTTTATAAAAATGATCTTGAAACAGCTTTCTACCACATCAGTGAGTCTCTCTATTTGTCATTGGAACTTAATTATACAATTTCACAAGATAACCTAGATCACTTTATTTTTATCCAATTTACCAGTTAGTTGAACACAAATTTATTTATAATCATATAGTTTTACTTTAACAAGTTTCTCACACCTATTTCTACAATATGACCAGAGCCAGCATTTTCATGTTAATATAATTATATATATTATACTGTACAACTTTAAGTACTAAACAATATTGTAACACTAACAGTTAATAACAGAGTGTGCTTCTCTTCTGCTAACATAAACTAATTATTAACAATAATGCCCTAACGAGATACACGATACTGTGACAGTACTACACTAGTATTAGTAATGTAATAATAGTAATACCACATTTCGACACTGCCAAGCCATCAACTTACCTCCACCAAACAAAACTTGTTTTTTAAAGAAATATTCAATTTCAGCATTGTAATGTTCAGTGTATGCTCCAAGACGATTTCCAGTACTTCTAGATTCTGTCCAATGTACTTTTGCCACACCTCTCATAAACACGCGAAGAGACTTCATTTTCATGTCTCCGCTCAAATCCACAAGACATTTTCCGCTAACTTCTTGCCCTGGGTAGAAGACAGTTTTACTTCTGTCAAAAACAATCTCAAAGGCTTTTAACTTTCCCATATTTGATGTTAGTATTACTCACTGTGTTAGCTTACTCCAAACTTTGAGTTTGAGAAGACTACTTCGCTAATTTTTGTCATGTTCGTATTTTTCAAAGTAAAAATTGGGATAATGGAAACCTTTAACGCAATGGTGATATATTCTCACCCTTATTTCTGTGTCTTGCGAAATACGAGATAAAAGAAGGTGAAAACAGCAAATTAAATAGTAGTATAAAACCTTCTTGATATCAACAGCTCCACACGACACTTAGTCTAAACAGATTAGAATGGTTGCCCTCGTTCACACAGGAGTGTGATATTTTACTTTAGAGGGCGTTCGTTTCAATCTTACCTCATCTCTCCTTTTACAGGCAACAAATAATCCCACCCATTTTTACTGTCATTTAGTAAACCTCTAGACAGTACCAGGTTAATTAAATGAGATAAAACAATGTCATGTTTTCAAGTTGTTGTTGTTTTTGTTTTTTTTAATGTAGCATCTGGGCACTATTTCGAAAACACTAAATAAGACGTACGGCTTCTTATACATTAAACTTGTTATGGACGTTTCAAAGCGGACGATTACCGTGAGATCTAGATGCAAATAAAAGTATCTACCCACTTGGATATTTTATTATAATTGTAGAAAATTAATTATAATATTTGTAGTGCAATAATAGCACATTTGATCTTTGATGAGCAGATATGTGTTTGTAGATTTTGATTTTCGATAACCTGTAATTACGAAATGTTCTGGTATTCTGATACACTGATAATTAACCATCAGATAATCTATGCTATTGTTACGCCTCCAGTCGTGAATTGATTTTCCGTAACTT